CATCCTGCCTCATTTGACTAGCGCCAGCCGATTGATTTTTCATTGAACAGCCTAAACTTGTCATATCCACACTTTTGCACCTGCACGGTTGGCTTTCGTACGCGGCGTCACTGTACAGCTTTTTGAGCATTAAAGTTGTTCAAGTTCAATCAGTCTTCCTAGACTTGTTATTTGGGGATCCTTCTGGTGTTGAGAAAGAAACCGGCTCTCAATACTTTCAGGTTTCAGCTGGAATTGCATCGGAGTCAGGGGCTTTCCAGATGGAAATTTGTTGCATGTTGCTGAGGGTTTATGGGAGAGTTGAAGGGAGACATAGGCCAATGTTGATTTCCAATAGGGGAGCCGAATGATAGTGGCGTCGGAAATAATTAATAGATGCTTGATGAAAATAACAAAGTGCTTGGCCCATAACTTAAGAAGATGTGACTTCTCTTTTCGAAGGGCTATTCCATCGGAAGAATAAAGATGGACGGCATTTATGTCTGGGAGACCAAAAATGACTTTAATCAATGCGAACAAATTATCTGATTCTTCGCGTTCTGCGTACTCTTGGAACTCATGGGCCTGGGAATTAACCCAATGTCCTGCATTTCATGCAGCCGTTGCTGCACATGACGGCGACATATGTAGTAGAACGCTTCGCTCGTATCGGTTGGGCAGACTATGCAGGCTCTGTGCAACTATTCTTTTCGGCAGCGGGATTGCTGATGGCGGCAACGTTTTCGTTAATCCGACCTTGCTCCTGACGACATGTGCTTCTGCCGACACACCGGATACGCAGGAGAACGGCCTCCAGCGCTGGGGCCAGCGAGTCTCAACGAATGCGTTTTCATATAGAGCTTGCAGATTATCCAGTCGATGGGCCAGGGATGGAAATGCTAATAAATTTACCGAGTCTTAGGGAAACACGCAGCTGTTCAAGGAGGCTAATGTTCTGTGGCCGCTAGACAGGGACAAATTTGGAGGATTCACAGGTGAGGATTAAGTGGATAGTAAAGGTCTGTCGAAAGTATTCACCCCTTACACAAGGCATGTAGAGCGACGTACATACGTAGACCAGTCTGACGACGTCGCTGGCTGATATTAGATTAAAGATAATATTTTTGTAACGTTTCTGCATTTTGTGTATTGCAGGATATTCTAATTGTTCCACTGTGTGTAGTTCTGGTTTTTTTGAAGGTCGGCTGTATTTATGTAGAGTAAATATTGTAGAAGTGTTTAGTTTATCTGTTGTTCTTAACATTTATTGGTCAGCGGTTACCTAGATTGTCCGTCAATTGTGGTTTACTCGTACTGTAAATTGTTATGGTTCACTGGAGTTTGGAA